GCGACGTCCCACAATGCAACATGGATCCTGAGCCCTATTTATGTTAGATTTTAACATGGGTTAAAAGTAACATAGATTTAAATTATTTAATTGTTTAAGTATTAAGAGACTACATAGTCCACCACAGTATGAGAAGAAAAAGCCTCTCCCCCTTTGATCGTATGCAGCAACACAACAGCAGCGGCAGGATAATGAGAATAATTACAACGATTCCAGTAACTGGTCCAAAGATAATACCGTTATTTCTATTTGCAAAACATTCAAAATATCAGGTTTTGGTCAGCAATCAGTTTTGACCTTTAGAAAAGTATCTGTCATATTTGGAAAGTAGCTTTTTAACCACTGGAAATTAAAACAAGGTAGCCTAATGGACAGAGCACCGTTTACTATCAATACAAGAATCTCAGATTCTCAGAAATTATTCATTGTTCTGAATTTATTCTAACTACAAAAAATGGTCCCTATAATCAAACATTGCACTAAATCATATATGATCTCAAGATTTGGGATTAATCTCTGGATGTTTCAGGTAATGATTTCATATTTGAAGGTAAAATGTGGGTGTTATTTTTCACTTATTTTTCATGTTAAACTTAGAAAGCATGGCTTAATCTTATCAAAATATAAAAAAAAAAATATAAAACAAATACTATAAGCTTTGTGTGACACCTGGATATAAACCTGTTATCTGATCTATTTCAGTTCCTAATCTGAAACAAAATCACAGCATGCTCCATTTAAGTTCTCAGCAGAATTACATTTAAACATAATTTCTGATCCTGGTCTTCAGTGTTGAAGTCAGAGATCTTTGTTAAAGTTATTCTGCTCTCATTTATCTCATACTAAGAAAATATAAAACAAAAAAAGAATTCTCCACAAAATGTGTCGTATTCAGAGCAACTAAAATATACATTTCTATCTGCAGTTAGAGAAGTTAAAAAAGTTAAAAAGTTAGAGAAATTGTTAGTGCTAACACCCTCCACAGGATTAATAGTAATTAACAGTTTTCCATCTTTTATTGAAAATGTCCTCCCCCTTCCACATCTTGCAGTGTACTGATGCATTTCTGGAATAGGGACACTGTGGAGGAAGCTCAAGAATAGGTACAGCATTCAGTGCAGGTCCAGCAGATTCCAAAACAGCTTCTTCCCCACTGCTATAAAACAGCTGAATGTTAAAAAAAAAATGAAAAAAGAGAAAAAAAACTGGAAAAAAGCTGTTGAAAACAACCCAACTGTAAATCATGTTACAGTCTCTCCATCAAATTGACTATATCAATGCATTTTTTTGCACCAAGTTTTTTTTTCTCCCAATGTTTACATCTGATACTACATTACTGCTGCACCTTAAGAACTGGAGATGTCATGAGAGCTGTACAAAATAAAATTTTGTTTTGTATTGTGACGACCCCCCACTGTCCAGTAGGTGCTGCCATCTCACTATTTGTTTTTGTTCTTTCCAGCGAGTCGGTAGAGGGGCTGCTAATTGATAGCACCTGATGGCTGTCAAATAATGACATCCAGTCAGTCACTGGCTCTACTTGATTTGGCCTCCCAACTAGACCGGAACAGGCAGCATTGATCCACACTTCTCTTTGGCTGGCTGAGCAGTTCTTCCATGACATAATTGGCAGAAAATAAATTATTGTTTCTTTGAATCCGCTCGTCTGTCTCTCATTTTTGTCAGTTCCTATATGTGGGGCATGACAAAATGGGACATGTCAGTTTGAATCCGGATTGGAGATCAGCTATCAGGTAGTGTGTTTTGAGTTGTGAACTCTGACTTGTAGGGTTACGTTGATGATCATGCTTTGTTAGTGGGTGAAGCAGCCACTGTATATTTGTTTTGAGGGAGTGTTTTTGTGTAGCAGTTTAGGTGATTGCTCCCACGCAATTTGTAGTAAGTGGCGGTGGTTCTGTCCCTGTTAAGCTTAACAACAACTTCCCTTATGGAGTGTGTTGAGGGGGAGGGTTTAGTGTGGTGTGTACGTGGATAGAGCAGTTGTGTCGGGATCACATCCGGAGTTGCAGGATGGTCGCCAGTTATTGGTTGCTCTTCCGGACTCTCGGGCGTTAGTATATAAAAACCCACTCCGGTAACACCCGAAAACTAAGGGGGAGATTTGTTAGATCCTGGTTAGGCAGTTAGAGAGAAGGGGTCACTGTGACACTGTGGCTGTTTTGGGATTGTGGGAGCTCATAGTGCTAATGTTAGGGTTGGAACTAAGTTGTTGTGTTAATAATTGTTAGTGTCATGGCTGCTGTTCAAAAGTCAAAAAAGTCAAAAAGCCTTTATTGTCATATTCTGCAACGGATACAATGAGATTTGGGACTTCCATATCAGCTACCGTGAAATAAATAAAAATATATAAATATATTAAAAGGAAAAGGAAATGTAAACAGTTAAAAAAATATATTAAAAGGAAATGTAAACAGTGAAAAGGAAATGTAAACAGTACTGG